ATTCAATAAAATGCAACTTTTCTTTATAGAATTAATAAAAGTAAGTCATTTTAACTTGTTCATATGTGCATGCTTTTTTTTAGCCGAAAATGAAAAGAATTTCTCCATTATAATAATATTCAATAAAATGCATCTTTTCTTTATAGAATTAATAAAAGTAAGTCATTTTAATGTATAGTTCTTTTGATTGTAGGAATAATAATTAAAAGATACCAGCGAGTCTAAATTTTTTATTATACCTAATGATTATTTTATAAGTAATAAAAATAATTATAGGAAGAAAATGTAAATATAAATAGTAATATTTAATATTCAGTAATATTTACAGTAACATGCCTAATAAGGATAAAATACAAAAAAAAGAAATACGTGATTTGAAAATGTGTTTTTCTCTGTCTTTCTCTTTCTTTTTTTTCCACGTATGTATATATGTGTGTATAATATAGTGTAATAAATAAAATTTCTTTAAATTAGGGAAGAAATATTGTGGGATATATGTATCATATGTTAAATACTATCTAATATATATAAATATTTGTGCAAAACCTGATTTAGATTCTCTTACTCGTTTAAAAGTTATTTATTAAAAATTGTAGCAAAATACTTATAGTAATCCAAAATCTTCCTGTAAATTTCTTTTTTTTTTGTTTCTTGCAGATGATGTCAGGAAGTATTCACGATCAAAAATTTTTGTCATAAATTAAGAAAAATATTAATTAGAACTAGTTTCTTTTACGAAGTAAAAACCATATTATTTTGTGATACTTTAATTCTTTTTATAATTTAGATTTATTTATTTGATTTTTCGAAAACTATAAACGTATAAAATGTTTTTTTTTAATTTTGACAGGTTTTTGCTAGAGTCAAAATATCCTTAAAAAAGAAAGTAGAAAATCTAGATATATAATTCTTAAGATCCTTCCTCTAGAATTCACACATGAATGATGATAAAAATCAATAATAACTTCTACATACTTGTGTCATGTATGAACAATGTAATTAATTCAGAATTTCATGTTATCAAGGATTAAAAAGGCTACTAAAAATTTGTGTTATTAGAGATCAATAAAACGTGATTTGCTTGCTTTGAAACGACAATTACCGTTATATTGCTCGAGTATTTCTACTGCATGCTGAACTATTCATATTTTCCGCGGTAATCATCCATTCTTTCACGACGACAGCATAGGAGGAGAAAGTTGTGCAAAAAAAAAAAGAAGAAAAAGGAAGTATCACGTATGTACGACGTGATAACGTCGCGGTTAGGGAACACGATCGAGTCGCGAATCGCATGTCTATATGACAACTATATAATTCTTGCGAACTAGACCCACTAACCGAGACACGTCGGTTATCGATCTACGATATTACACGCACGTATGTGTGCATAAGCAAATACGGAGGACACGCGCATACTTTAATGCTCGCATGTGTGTACGTAATGCAGAAAGAGAGCATAAAATATGAGACACTTCTATAACGTACATTTGAAAAACTGCATAATTAATCGATGGGAGAGACAAATTACGATAAAGCGGATACGAATAGGACTAATCGAGAGATAAATTTTAAACAAGAATTTATACGTTTATTGAAAAGTTTATTTCTCTCCCAATTCTAAATTTATATTTTTTTAAAAACTGAAGATTATGTTAAAAAGTGTGGAAAATTCATAATAAAGCTACGTAATCAGTATAATCCTTTCACCGAAGAAAAATAAGACAAGTTCTAACAATAAATTTATTGTTATTAATATTCCCTACTATTCGCGTTACTTTGGCAACAATCCCCGCAAACAATACCGTATTCCGTTATGAACAGGCGGAGTACATCGACCACGAAACTTGAGGACATGTATAAAGCCAGATAAATGACGAACCAGACAATTTAAGCCGAAAGGACATTTCTTTGTTCTCTCGTGTTTCACTGTAATGCAGACAGGGAAAACTAATTATGATATTTCATTGTTCAGCAGCTATTGTTTGAAATTAATTTCTCGATTTTTAAAAACAGCGTGGATACATCAACTATGTCGATCGATTGCTACGGTATTTATAATTTAATCATGACCAAATAAAATGACATATGGAAAGTTATTATGAGTCATTAAATCTTCTTTCTATCTCGCTAAAATTTTAATAAGAACAAAAAACCAATTTTTTAAAATTATAATTATGTAACCTAATAATTATATAATTCAAAGCGGAGAACGTGGTAAATAAGAGCCACGACGCGATTATTGGTGCGCAAATTTTTTATTTTTAGATTTTAGTAATACACATGTATTAAAAGTGTACATTTTGGATCGTTTTTTGGTCCATCTCTTCAGCATAGATATAAATAAATATTATATGTATTTTTGCAAAATAAAGTACAAATCTTTTATATCCAATCAGTGTATCTCATCCGTTCATTATTATATATGTATGTATGCACGTATATTGTAGGTATATCGTCTTTTATATCGGCGTTTAAATAAAAAGATTTTTAAGCCGCGCGATATCAAAGACACGTCTACACTTCTCTTTAGTAATTTCTCTTAATATAAGATAAAATAGTTAAAACATATTTAGTATATCTGATCACAAATGATTCACACGGATATATTGGATGATTGCATAAGTTCGTGCCCGATTTTCATAGATGGCATTAAGTTACTGCATGGCGGAGTTCTATTGTTTTCGTGTGGTAATTGTTGCTTACACCGAATAGATGACGTTGTCTTATGTCAATTTAGCGTCAGACATTGTTCAGATAAGTCCATTTGTGCATAAGAGAAATCATTAAAAATGGAGAACGAAAAGGTGCATTTGCGGCATGTAATGTTATATGAATTTCGGAAAGGCGTGAGTGTTGGGATTGCACAAAAAAATATTCAAACCGTTTATTTGGACCGCGCTCCTGCTCTCCGAACAGTCAAAAAGTGGTTTGGCAGATTTCGAAATGGTGATTTCAACATGGAGGATCAACCCCGCTCTGGACGGCCTTCTGGCATTGATGATGACATTGTGCATGCCTTAGTGGAAAGAAACCCAAGGATTACAACTGAGGATATTGCTGAGAGGCTGAACATCGATAATTCAACCGCTTTTCGTCATTTAAAAAAGCTTGGATACGTTTCCAAGCTTGATACATGGGTGCCGCATCTCCTGACTGAAAGGAATAAGCTAAACCGTATGACTGTGGCTCTTTCTCTTCTCGAGTGTAACAAAAAAGAGCCTTTTTTAGATCGAATGGTAACAGGCGATGAAAAGTGGATTCTCTACAAAAACGTACAGCGAAAGAGGACATGGAAAACAGCAGCTGAAGGAGCAGAACCCGTAGCAAAGGCTGGCTTGCATCCGATGAAGGTGTTGCTGTGTGTTTGGTGGGATCGCAAGGGAATTATTTACTTTGAGCTGCTCCGACGCGGCGAAACAATCACGGCGGACAAGTACTGTGAGCAACTAACTAGACTCGCTGCAGCTATTCGAGAAAAACGTCCGATTTTGGCCAATCGAAAAGGCGTCATCTTCCACCACGACAATGCTAGGCTACACGTCGCTCAACAGACGCTGCGAAAATTGCAGGAGTTGCAATGGGAAATTCTGCAGCACCTGCCATATTCTCCAGATATTGCGCCTTCAGATTTTTATCTGTTCCGGTCTTTGCAGAATAGTTTAAATGGCAAGAATCTCAATTCCGAGGAAGTTGTCGAAAACCACCTTACAAACTTTTTTCAAGAAAAACCAAGTTCTTTCTTCAAAAATGGAATCGACAAGCTTGTAGATCGTTGGAAAACCATTGTAGAAAAGAATGGAGACTATATAATTGATTAATAAAAGTGTTATCTCTAAAATATAATCTATTGAAGTTTATATTTAAATCGGGCACGAACTTATGCAATCACCTGATATATTGTAAATTACCGACGGATACATGTGACGATGGCGTTTAGACGTTGTCCACTGAATTGTATAGATTTTACATGGGTTTTAGTGAGTTCTTCTCTCTGATTAGTGCCGGTCTACAAAAGGTGATTTAAGCCCTAAGCCTTAAGAAATTGACTAATCACCGTCGAGTATTCTCCTCATACTTGCCTATGATCGGTCAATTTCTTAAGGCTTAAGGCTTAAATCACCTATTGTAGACCGGCACTTATCGATTTTAATTTAAAAGACTACAACAACAAATATTGTACATGTCAGGTTTTAAAATACCAATGTAATCTTTATATATTTATATCTATGCTGAAGATGGACCAAAAAACAGTCCGATATGTAGTGATTCCATATACTTTGTAATTGCGCTGAGGATGGTCCGAAAAAAGGGACCGAAACGTACGCTTTTTGTGATTTTATTTATCTCGTAGCCAAAATATCAATATAATTTGATTGTAATAAAACATATGCGCACAAATTACCGCGCTGGCTCTTGATTGCCTTTTATTTCCTTCGTATGATATATTCATAAGAGCCTTTATTAGTTAATTAGAAATTTTATTCGGATTTTATCATATAATTTTATAAATGTGTATCCCTAATAGTAATCGCGGTATTATTATATTATATTAATAATTGTATAATTTTGATTTTTTGAAGCTTTAAAATTTTGAAGTATCGAAGTTTCGAAGTTTCGAGGCTTCGAAACTTCGATCTTCGAAGATTTTAGTGCCGAAGCTTCAAATCTTCGAACCTTCGAAGTTTCGAATGTCGAAGCTTTCGAAGCAAATCACTAGCTCTAATATTAACATAGTATATCAATGTCACTATTTAACATATCCATATTATGTTAAATTAATACAAAAATTTGTGTGGACTGTTTTGGACATGCGATATATGTTAGATTTAAGCCAAATTTTCCAAAAGTGTATATCATTCCATTTGCAATAGATATTTTTCTGTAACAGGGCGGGAGTAGACGACAATCGACGAGGCCCCACTGTTGGCAAGTTGGTGATTTATCCGATTTTGGTGATCTGGGCATGGTCTTAATTGCGACGGTGGGGCGATGACGCTCAATAACCGTCTGCCATCATCAGCAGGGGTCCCTCAGGACTCGCCCAGCTTCCTGCTCCCGGTTTCGGTCCCGAATTTAATCACTGACAACGATTGTCGCTATTCAGCAAGAAACGTAGTGAAAACGCTCACGACTGTCGTAGTCGGAAAGAGATATGAGAGACCGTTCTCATCATTACCGAGATCATCACGGACACGCCATGCCCCTCGAGGAGGTTCAAGGACTGTTACTTCCACCCTCCAGAACAGGTGAGTCTCGTTCTTTTTCTCGCGACAAGAGCATCCGAGATATCTTCCCGCTTTTAAAATCTATCAAAATATGGAGTAAGAAATAATTGTATCTCGTGCGCAGAGCCAGGCTTGAATTAACGTAAAGAAAAAAAAAGTGAGATGCTAAAATACGCTATATTGTACACTGAAAAAAATCTACTAAATCCCCAAAAATATTTTTTGATCTGAAAAGATTATTTATTTAAATACTTGCAAAGGAATTATTTCAAAGGAGTTATTTCAATTAAGCAGCAAATATATTTGAAATAATAATATATGCACAGAAAAAAGGTTTCTTAAGATTTAATATATCTATTTGTTTGAGTTATATCTGTTTCGTTATAAAAACATTATTTTATACAAAACATCATTTTGTTGAATAAAAATTTAATAATTTCGTTGCATTAAACCATATTGTTTAACGGAAAAATAACTATTATTTGGAATAGTGCTTTTCAACTAAATAATATTTGTTTCATTTAGGACTGCCATCTGTAATTATACAGACCTAAGACTGAAAGATTTAAAACCCCGGCCTTTTCCAATTGAAACCCAAACACCCATAATTCATTATGTGAAATTATTGCAACTGCTAATAAAGCGATAAAAATAGAATAATTTTTATTTTAATTATTAATAATCAATAATATTATTAATAGTCATTATTATTAAGAATTATTAATAATAGTAATAATGTAATACTACATTATTCTTTTTGCTGTCAATGATCCCAATGCCCTAAGGCTCGGATAATATCGCACGTACAACATACACAGACACAGCCTCAAAATGCGACGTGTGCATCGCTTTGTGTCACGCGCTCAAAAAACTCGGACTATTTTGAAAAATCTCCCTGGACGTTCCCGGACGCTTGAAAAACTAGGACAAATCCGGGGAAAACTGGACGGATGGCAGCCCTAGTTTCATTACACTAAATATACTGCATTAAATCATATTGTTTGACGGAAAAATAACTATTATTTGAAATAATATAGTTTATTCGCTTACTGCTATGCGATGCACTATACTCGTATTCAAATTTCTGTCATAAGCATATATGTATAAATCCTGCAAAATGCGGCTAATAACATTTAACAACTATTTCTATCAGTTTCATTTCTGATACGATCTCCATAGGAGAGAATTCAGATAATGAACTGAGTTTTGAAAAAACGGATAGATAAATGTCCGATATTCACTTATTCGGAAAGAAATTGTCCGAATAAGTAAAGTTAAGTTTTTCTACAGGCCCTAACGATAGGATGCCGAAGATTTGATTAGAAAGATGCAGTAACATGCAATTTAACTTTATCTAACTTGTTCTAAGCTTTATTGAAATTATTCAAAGCAACATAATGAATCTTTTAAATAAAACAAGAATATTATTTAAAGAAAACAATAAAATTGTTTGAAAGAATAATATAATTGTTTAAGTTGAAGAAAAAGTAAAATTTATTCAAAAAATATTTTATTTAAAATAAATAAATATGTTATTTGAAAATCAAACAATCATATTTGTTACTTCAAACATTAATATGGTTAGACCATTCCAAGCATTATATTTCTTTAGTTTCAACAAAATTTATTAAATCCAAAGAAACTTTTCTCTCTGTATATAGGTATATAATAAAAGCGAAGTATACTTATATTTTATCTTTATTGTATTATATTAAATTACTTCCTTTTGAAAAAACATTTTTTAATTTTTGGCTACTTGTTTAAAAACCACAGATTTTCTTTATTTTAATAAATAATTTTTTATTTTCTATATTATATATTATTAAAATGGTCCATCCTGTATATGTATAATACGTAAGGGTAATTACAATTTTTTTTCCTAATAGTAATAATGTAATACTACATTATTCTTTTTGCTGTCAATGATCCCAATGCCCTAAGGCTCGGATAATATCGCACGTACAACATACACAGACACAGCCTCAAAATGCGACGTGTGCATCGCTTTGTGTCACGCGCTCAAAAAACTCGGACTATTTTGAAAAATCTCCCTGGACGTTCCCGGACGCTTGAAAAACTAGGACAAATCCGGGGAAAACTGGACGGATGGCAGCCCTAGTATATGTATAATACGTAAGGGTAATCACAATTTTTTTTCCTAAACTTGAAACTTTATTTACCCTCTCTCTCTATTCTCTTTTTTTTTATATTTTCTTATCTCCATTAAAATTCAGATCGCGAATTGTATGATACTTTATGTAATATCTCTCTTGCACGCTAACTGTTATTCAAATCGTATTAGTAAAAAAATCTCAATTGTGTGCCAAGTAATACATGAATGTCTTTTTCGTTGAAAAAATAATTATTCTTATCTTAAGTGCACATCGATGCAGATAATATTTTACTTTTATGGAAAGTAATTTTTTTGTTTAGAGATACTGTTTTGCAATTTAAATGGGATTCGATTTTTAATTCCACCTATACGAGTATACTGTTTACTTATTATGTGTATCATTAAAACGCTATATCCGCTTTATCCGGGGGGCACACAAAGGTTAGTCTTGTGACCGGTGGAGGATTATGGACAGATTATGCCAGCCGCGTACATATAAGAGCTCCAGCGTGAACGTATATTCAATGCTTTGGAATAACTCTCTCTTTCTCTTTTCTTTTCTCTCTTTGTCGACTCACCTCTTATTAAATTTTCATGAAAATCCAACCCGAATTCCGGCGACAGAAAACACGTGTATATATAATTCGTGTGGAAACTCTAGCTTTACGAGTATCGGCCTGTGAATCGTAAAACTTCAACGTTTCTCTTTATTACTGTAACCATACATGCATGAAGATCGTGGCAGTTTACGACACCCCAGGTGTATGCTCGTTTGAAGGAAGAATACTGAACTCACAATTTTTATGAAGACCCTCTTTAGGGATACAGCTAGGGACAAAACTATAGGGTCGCATTCTAAATATTTAAATTTTTTATACTCCCGGCTTGTTTCCAACTGGATAGGCTTGTTTTATTGCAGAATAAAATTTAAAATATGTCAAGTATATAATACACACATATCATATATACGTATACCAAAAATAAAATTTTTTATATTAAATAAATACATTTTGTTAATTCTGATTTTTTTTTTACTTAAATAACACCGTTCAACAAAAAATTGCTTTTTTTTTACAATCGGAACGGGACTAGTCGCTTCTTATAGGTTTTTGGACGCTGAACACGAATCCGGTTTCGAAATTGCTCCATCACGTCAGAATTTCAAGAAATTTGCAATTAAAGTTGCAAGAAGGGCTATTTTCCGGACTTTGTCATATTATAGCTGCAATAAGTAATGTACTGAAGAAGTTTTATTATAATCAAAATAAAGTACGTTGTTAGGACTTTTAACCCTCAAAAGAAATGTTTGGTGTCGGTTATGGTTAATAAGTTATCCATGGTTAAATATGGGATGTATTGCAGAAGTTAGCTGTGATTTAGGTCATTGACGATTTACCAAATAGCTTTGAATTATTATTTAAACTTAAGAGTTTTTTAGATCGCTGAATACGAATCCAATGTCAAAATTGTCAAATTTAAAATGGTAGACTCAAATATTTAGATTGCAATCCAAATATTTTATAAATTTTGACATCCGCCATATGAATTTTGAGTCCACCATTTTGAATTTGACAATTTTGACATTGAATTCGTATTCAGTAATCTAAAAAACTCTTAAGTTTAAATAAATATAATTGAAACCTATTTGGTAAATCGTCAATGACCTAAATCACAGCTAATTTCTGCAATATATCCCATATTTAACCATGGATATCTTATTAACCATAACCGACACCAAAAATTGCTTTTGAGCGTTGAATGTCCTAACAACATACTTTATTTTGATTGCAATAAAACTTCTCCAGCACGTCACATATTGTAGCTATAATATGACAAAGTTCGTGAAAATAGCCTTTTTTTGCAACTTTAATTGCAAATTTCTCAAAATTCTGACGTGATGGAGCAATTTCGGAATCGGATTCGTGTTCAGCGTCTAAAAACCTATAAGAAATGACTAGTCCCGTTTCGGTGTTTTTTGTTGTTGAACTGTGTAAATATATACTTTGTTTCCAAAAATGTTGTTATAAAATAAATTATTATTTGCATGTAATAAAAATTACAATTTTTAAAATACATTACTTAAAATTTAAATATAAAAAAATATATTTATTTGAAGATAAAAAATTATTTATTGAAATAAAGAAAATCTGTGTTTTTGAAACAAGCAGCCAGAAATTAAAATATTTAAATAAATAATCTTTTTAAATCAAAAAAGATTTTTTGGGATTTAATACATTTTTTTCAGTGTACGCATACGTATAATATATAACACAAAATTAATTCCAAACTGATGAAAAAAATATTTTTTGAAAATTACATCGTGATTTTGGGATCTTTTTTTCTCTATATACATGATTTTATATATGTATAGTCTTGTGTGTATGCCTTCGATAAAAATGTTTATTTTCAAAAAGATCATATAGAATTCAGTTATGTTCTTTAGAAATTTGACATTTTTTCTTGAAACGAGTTTACTTGGATATTTTTACTATATTTTCCAGTTTGAGATATATTTAATCTAAAATGAGATGTACAAGAACGATACTATGATAAATTCAATAGAATCGCTTATTATAAAGTCAATTAACTATATAATATCTGCACGATACGTTCTCGTGATAGTTTAACGACACGCTAATATCTTCTCTAATCCGTAAGCGAGACATATCGACCGCAAATTGCGCGAATAAATTTTCTTCAGGATTAAAGCTTCTGCTATCCTTACATGCCGTAAGGCGAAACCGTTATAAATCAATAAATCGCATCGGCCAATCGTACATCGAATTATTGCAGGAACGAATCGCGGCCGACCGAGGAGACGAGTACTTCGTCCGATTAAACGGATTCAATTTTAACTCAACTCATTTGAGGATGAGGGCAAATGACACGGGGTTAATTATCACTTAATGACATCCCGGCGCAGTGTTGATCCCTATCCTCCTCCATCATCCTCTCCGGAGGCCTCTTAGCTCGGTTATCATTTCTTAATGATAATTTTGCACTAGGGCAGCTATCGAGATAGCACGCGATATTGTATACATAATTAATAGAAAATGTAATTAACATAACTGAGGATATATTCTGATTAATTTTCTCATATATTTTACGGATTTCAAATTAAAGAAAATTTCAAATTAAGGACGGCACAAATTTGCTTTTTGCAGAAATGCCACTAAATGATTATTAATTTCTCTATTGTTTGTCTTACTCTCAAGTAGAAATAAAAAAAATTTTTTTTTGCAACAAAAAAAAGTTGAAAAAGAACGTGTTTTTTTCTCATTGAAAAAAAATGTTGTTTTTGTTTTTTCATTATTTTTTTAAGTATAATATAATTCTTTTAAATATTTTTTTTGTTAACATAATAAAAGAAACTAAAGTTCTTATATTTCCAATTTATCTTTTTTTTAAAGTGATTTTAATGGATTAATGAGACTTTTGCGGTAAATTACATCAAATTCGACACAATTTGGATAATTCTCAATTAGATGCATAAAAATTCTTATTAATTAAAAATAGAGAGTAATTACGTAATTATATAGCTAATTGAAATGCGAGTATTTAAAATAATAATGGTTAATTCAAATCTATTATCTAAAAAGTTAAAAATAATGAAAAATTAATTTATAGTAATCAAAATATAAAGATATGAAGATATTAAACATCTGGAAAAAAAAAAGTTTTGAAAAAAAACGAATCTTGGTTTTTCTTTTTTTCATAAAAAAAACAAGATTTGTTTTTTTTCAAAAAAAATTTTCTTTTTCAGGTATTTAATATCTTAATATACAGGGTAAGGCATCTAAGACAGGCCAGTATGTACAGAATAATGAGACAAATCAATTAGTATAAAAAAATAATTGTTTTTAAGAAAATCATTTACAATGTATTTTTTAAAATAATTATTTGTTTTTTTTGCACTAATTGATTTGTCTCATTATTCTGTACATAAAAGTATTACGGTAAGGTTATCGAAAACTGAATATTTTACGAAATATTTTATTTTTTATATCAAAATATGTCAGATTAAAATATAAAATAACTCAAAAAGTACTTAATGAAAAAATACTTTATTATAGTGTTTTGGAAAGCTCTCGAGGTAAGCTACAAGAATACGTAAGAGAAATAGGGGGTTCCATTTAAAAAAATGAAGATGACCTTCAAATCTCCTAAGCGCCTCCACCTAAAAAAAAATGTTCACTTCCACAAGATTTCCCCCTCGATACCATACATCTTTTTTTTCAAACATTTTCTCCTATCTCCAAAACTGTGGGAGTTATTCGGGTGGCCTGTCTTAGATGTCTCACCCTGTATATCTTAATATCTTTAGTAAGTACAATTACGTTTATATTTTCTGCTTCCTCTTAGAGGAAGCTTTGTTTTCGTGAAAAATTTTTTTTTTTATGTTTTGATGCCAATGTGTTTAGAATGTTCTAAAATGTCGAAAAATCATATTTTTTTTAAATGTCCGTATGTGTGTATGTATGTGCATATGTGCATCAAAAGGACATGATTGCTCTAACTTTCGCAAATTTTGAGATATCGAGCTAAATTTTTTTACATGGGTAGAGTATCATTAAAAGATGGTTGGTGTTGAATTTGGCTAGGATCGATGAAGGGGTTTATTTTTTATAAAATTTTTTTATAGAATTTTTCAAAAAAAGAATGTGGTTGCTCTAACTTCCGCAAATTTTGAGATATCGAGCTAAATTTTTTTACATGAATGAAGTATCATTAAATGATGGTTGGTGTTGAATTTGGCTAGGATCGGTGAAGGGGTTTATTTTTTATAAAATTTCGAATTTTTCCAAAGAAGGGAGTGGTTGCTTTAATTTCCGCGAATTTTGAGATATCGGACTAAATATTTCTTTTTTTACATGATTAGAGTATTATTAAAGGATGGTTGCAAATTAGAAAATAGCACATTGCTTCTTTATTTTTCTATTTCGCTCACAAAGCTTCATCTATGAGGAAGCCAAAATTGAAAAACTCGCTTGCTTTAGCGAGCTTAAACTTTGTGAGCGGAGTAAAATGATGAGGAAGCAATGTGCAAATTTCTAATTTGCACAATTTTCAGCTTGTTATACTTTGTTATTGAGAAGATTTACACTTCGTTAACATTTATTTTCTTACGAGAATAAGAAAAATGTCATGCTTAAGGTTGTGTGTATCATATGTCAAAAAAAACCAAAAAACAAAATGTTTTTTTTTATTTACCTCTTTACTCTCGAGTAATTCGAGTTAAGGATAAATCTTTTATATTCAATTAAAATTATTACAATCATTGATTATACAAAATACTTGTAAAATAAATAAGAAAAATTTAATTATAAAATAATATTTGTTTTTGGATTTGCGGTTAATGATTTATTTTGACTTTTATTAAATACATTGATAGAAAGCAATCTTTTAATTAAGAGGTGCTTTGTGAGCGATTACAATTCGGCGTTTTCATAAAGCTTCATGGGCGAATTAAGAGAGCGCTTGTATAACGATTTTCATTTCCTCGCCACCGAATTCACTTGATTCTCTCTCGCCCAATTAGAGAGCGCCCTTCAATTTTGTCATGAAGAAACGACGGCGGCTTAATTATCTCCTCTCTTCTCGCGTTCGGTCATTTATTTTTAACGAGTCGGCTCACCATAGTCTCTCTCTCTCTCTTTCTTTTTTTTTGTTTTACGACAGGTAACCGGGGACCTCTGAATGTGACGATTGTACAGGTCGGCAGAGGAAATGGAGGCGGTGGAGATGGCGGAAGTGATTTACTGAGATTGGAACCGCCGTCGGATTTAAGACCGGTTCCGTCGCCCTTATCTGACACCAGTACCACCTTGCAGTCTGACAACAATGACACCTTGGCCGGAGGTGAGAGAAGTATATATATCCCGATATTATATTCGTTTCAAAGATCCTTGATACCTGTCTCAACTATATTTAGTTTTGAACTCGGCGTTTAAGGCATTCATTCCAGACATGTTAGATTAGGAACCCCTGAAATCAACTACAAGAAACAAAAAAATCGAATAATTTACAGGAAGGTTTCAAATTACTATAAATATTTTGCTACAATTTTTAATAAATAACTTTTAAACGAGTAAGTGGATCTAAATCAAGTTTTGCTAGTTTATTAGAATTTTGTTAATACATGTGAAAATTTTTATTTCGTTGTGTCTTTTCCTTGTCAAATCCGTCAATAAGTATTACAATACGCGATTTTTTATAAAAATCAATACAAACTTTAAACTTAAATAACTTAATTTAATAAATAATTTAATAAATTTCTAAATCGTTAAGAGGATTGTGTGCAGATTTTGCACAGATACTCAGAAGAAATAGTAGAACAGTCTACGCGAAATTTTCATGTTTTTGTCAATGTTTTGACATATGACACACACAACTTTAAGAAAGACACTTTTCTTATTCTCGTAAGAAAATGAATGTTCCTAACGAAGTGTAAATCTTCTCAATAACAAAGTATAAAAAGTATAAACGTAATTTTAGTGCTGGAGCATTTTCTGTGGAAGCGCAGATAGTAGTATATCATACGGACATAATAAATCAATGACGCGAATTCAACATTAAATGATGTTCAATGTTAAATTCTGTTAAATTCTCAAATCCGAAATATAAGAATACGAATAATGAAAATTACACACAAAGGCTCTGTTTGTGATATCTTTCTAAACAAATCACATATCGACACTCAGAAATTTCACAAAATATTCTATTTGATTGGATAAAAATGTTGTGCAGTTTCTTACTATTTTAAGATTATTTTGTTTAAATAGAGTTTAATGTATAAAATTTAAACTTGAAGGAATTTTCGAGAACAAAATGCAAAAGTTTGTATTGATTACAGTATGAGAAAAGTTTTACGGTTTTATTGTTATAAAATAATAATAAGATTTAATTGTAACTGGTATTAATTGTCTATATAAGATAATGAGATATTCTATCTAAAATCAAGCATTATGTGTGTGTTGTTTACAATTACATGAAGTATTTTTAATATATTAAACACAGCAGTTCCTAATTACGCATTGTACAATAGCACATTAATTGCAATTTCTGGGGTTGTCAGTATATATTTCTTAAATATTGATGATTGAGCTTCGTTCACTTTTAGTGCGCGGTAGATTGTGTGTCATATCCTGCAACCGGAAGCGTTTTAGCAAAAAGCTTTCGGTTACGGTCAGTTTGCCAAGGATTGATAAAAGAAAAAGCAAAGTTCCAAAGTGCATTGAAAACAAACGTGGAAAAGATGATACTGATAATATTTATATAAAGACGATACTATAATGTGTTATAATGTCTTATATTATATGTTTCAATAACAAAAATGTAATCAATATACATAAAATTATTAATTTAATTTTTTTATTTGTTTAAAGTAACATAAATTTATCTTTGTAACAAATTTTCGTATATTCAAAAGTTTTTAAAGAAAAATTTAAAGTTTAAGAAACCATAATTTGCACAATTACTCAATCGAAAGAAATATTTCTATTTTTATTATGAAAACAAGAAGTAAACGGATTGATGAGAGCTAAAGACAGGAAACAATGCTCGAATAATTATCTTTAAAAAATTTCTTTAATTATCTAGATAAACATTTTAGTTCCTTTTCAGGTCATCTTCAGTAACTATTAACAAAATAATACATATCATACAGAAAAACGTTTATTTGGATAATTAAAGGAATTTTTGTGCGCTTGGTTTTCATTAGTTTGTTTCTTCCTTGTTTTATATGATTAATTAGACCTACATTTGATTCTATTTCTATTTTTCTAGTCGCTAATAATTATTATTTATAAATTTATTCTAAATTTTTTAAAGAATAGTATAACAAAATTGATGTATATTTGCATTAATGTGTGTATATATGTGTGAGCACGCGCGCGTGTGTTATATGCCTGCAGTTTTATCATGAATGAAGGTAAAATTGATAAATCTCCAGGTGTCGACCCAAGATTATTACTGGGAACCGGTGGTGATCGCAATACCTGGGAAGGTCGCTATCATGTGAAGGAACATCGACGTGCTGGAAAAGCTACTTTCCAAGGTCAAGTTTACAACTTCCTGGAACGTCCCACCGGCTGGAAGTGCTTCCTGTACCACTTCTCTGTGTAAGTAACGACGATATTCGATATATGCATGCGATTTTTGGCACGGCTTTCTAGTAGAACACGTAATAACACATTATTCGCGTCCTTGAGATATACAATAATATGTATCAAGGGGCGAAATATTCATAATGAATCCATATCCGAAATGGCGTTGGTATTCTTCATTTCTCGCTTAATAATAAACATTATGTTATTCGTTTACCGGATGTCTATAGTTGCAATGAGAGATCCAATATAAAAAATAAAATAAAGAGTTCGCGGCATCGCGTACTTCATTCACTCGCTTTATCAGTCGCTCGCAACGCTCGATACATCAAAAGAGAATTAACGCACTCGATGGTTCTCTGCAGTATCAATCTTTATTGTCACTTAATAAACATTATTAATGTAGCGCTTCAAAAAAGATTGATGGGAGTTTCAAAATCTCTCCCCATCTCAGATCTGATATACGAGTACATAATGATTAATATATATAAAATTGATTTAAGAGAAAGCAGGTACTTAATTAATCTTTGTCCATAATTGTTAATAAAAAAGTTTCCCCTTTGAACTACGATTTAAGCTAAATGGATAAAAGATTACGAGAGATTATTTTTTAAAACGAGAGCAATTGAAAAACTCGATGAAGAAGGCTTTTGAATTTAAACTCGCTGGAAGAAGAAGCGGAAAAAGTTACGAGATCGTAACTCGAAGTTTGCTATGATAAGAAATCTATAGTTTCCGAGTAATATTTTCTTGGCTCGCCATTCATGGTTAGCGTTATAGCGGAAACGAAATTGTTTATTAGAAATTTATATGACGAACGAGATATCCTGTATGCGAAGCGCTTTATGCTTTCCCCAGAGTATTTTTTTCAACGTATATATTGATAAATAATAAAGGTTTATCACGTTACACGCAGACACAATACGATCGCTTATCAGAGTTTATCGTAAAAAATTGGAAAAAGGAATAACGAGAGATATAGTGTTTCATTGTAGAATATAAATAATATAGTATGCAGAAATATTCTTTGAACTCTTGAAGTTTTTAAGCATCTGTAGAATAAACTGTTTTAGTACGGTACTTTTTTTACGATAATATCAGATTTGATACATAATTATGACATGTACTGGTTAAATACCTTTTTCTACAAGATATATTTATAATTAGAAGAAATGTATGTTTTTGAACAATTATCCGTGTTATATTGTTTTATCGCCCTTGGAGAATTAATTAAATTCGCGATTAATCGATGATTTTTTGAAATTTTGCAGTTGCACGCGTTCGAGATATTTTCTACAGATTTTTTAATAATTTTGTGATATGTAATGAGTACAATTTTTGTCGAATATTCTTATTAATCGGTATACTCTTTACAAAATACATACACATATGCAAAGATATAACAAATTTTTTTTTTATTATTTTCATATCTATTAAGGATATTTTGGCCTTACAATAGTAGCGAAAAACTATTAAAAATAACATATTTCTTAGATTTATACTGTTTAAAAAATCAAATAAATAAATCTGGATTATGAAAAGAATTAAAGTATCACAAAATAACATGGTTTTTAACATCTTCGTAAAAGAAAATAGTTGTTATTAATATTTTTCCTAAATGATAAAAACTTTTGGTTGTGAATACTTTCTGTAATCAATTGCAAGAAACAAAAAAACGAGTAATTTACAGAAAAATTTCAGGTTACTATGAGTATTTTGCTACAATTTTTAGTAAATAACTTTTGAACGCGTAAGTGGATTTCAAGTTTTGCATAAATGTTTATTAAAGTTTTGTTAATACATGTAAAAATTTTTATTTCGTTGCCAGTGTTTTATCTTGTTAAATTTATCAATAAATGCTACAATACGCGATTTTCCATAAGAATCAATACAAACTTTAAACTTAAATAATTTCCAAACTGTTAAGAGAATTGTGCTCAGTTTTTGCACAGATACTCAGAAGAAATAGTAAAACAATCTACGAAATTTTCATGCTTTTGTCAATGTTTTGATAAATGACACATACCATCCTTAATCATAGCGCATTTATAGGAGGCATTGTTATAGTTCATGTAGCTTTAAGTTTGATACGCATAGATGGCGGACCCCATATTGGCATTAACTACTCGAGGTGTCTGATCAATATTTACTTTCTACTATTTATATATATCTAAAGTGAATTTATACTTACATCGTTTCAAAGTATGCATTTTTATTATAAATTTTCAACATTTTTAGACAATATAAGAATCTTTGTGATGTCAAGATATGCATCTATTATTATTAGAAATCGCGTGCAGAGAGAGGATGTCGCAAAAAACTAGAAAATGCTTTTTAAATTATAAATACTTCGATTGACCTAAAATCAATTTTTTTTCTCAACAAACTTAGATCGCGTAACTTTTCAATTTTTAACATTATACATCTATGTAATTCTAATTATAAAATTCTGCTTAAGTTCATCTAAAATTGTCTAAATATTGTTTTGTAACACTCACTTTTACTTTCTTGAAGTTTGATCTGCGGAAAGAAATGCTTTATTGTTAATGAGTAATTATTCGAAAACTATTAATGCTTTTATTATATATTTTTATTTAAGAAGTATTGATTCTAAATTAGCCAAAGAATATGTGATAATCGAATTAATATTAATATTATTAATTTACTCTGATGGTTTTGGGGAATAGTTTGTGTTCTACGTGATAGAATTTGCAAATATACGACATTAGAATAATATGGGAGAAAGTAGGATAAAACTAAGTACTTTTTTGGATTTGTCTTTCTATAAAAAATCAGAGAATAAAAAAATTTTGCTGGCCGTTAGTAGTCTTTAGTGAACCTTAAACTATGAGAAAATGAGGCTAGTTGCTGAAAAAAAAAATTTGGTTATCAAGGATAACAAGATTTTTTGGTGAAGATTAAAATAGATACACCGGTCAAAATACCCGGTTTTGCCCTACCGGTAAGGTAAAACTGGGTGCCCATTTGAAAACATGTAAAACACTGTGAAATTACAAAATCGAGATTAATTTTAATTAAAATATAATACAAAAATGTATTCTATTGACAAAAATCACAAATAAAGATATCTTCTTGTTTTACATTGCTGCAGGACTCCCTTATTTAATTTTTTAATTTTAGGAGTCTCAAAAACCTTTTTTTTTTAGTGGTTTCTTTTTCTGAGTAGTAGTTTTTGTTTCTAACTGCTTTTTGTAGGGAGACAAAGTCAGGATAACAGTTCTTCCTCTTTTCATTACATGAACTGTGAGGTACCCGATTTTGCCCCAAAACGAAGAAAATAACAAACAGCGTCTGTATATTCCGGCGTATAAAGTGACGATCATAACTAATGTGATATACTCTCTAATATGTACAGAATGCAATGCTGCATTTACCGAAGCAGATGCTCTATAGAAAAAATCCATAACGACTTGATTGTTGCCCCGATATCGATCTTTTTTGGCTCGAAAATTTTGAACTTCTCTCAAAAAAGAAATATCGTGTGCACGTGGGCACGGTTCATCTCAAAATAATGATAGCATCAATCTATAACTAATAACACTAGTTAGCCAAAGATAGTAGCACTTATCACGAAGAAACAGAAGTACCCGGTTTGACCCGCCTAACCCGGTTTTACCATATTTTTCCTTATATATACAGGGTGTCCCGCAATGTGATGTCCACACTGAAACTGTGTATTCTTTGTCAAAAAGTCTTAATACACATTCTAAGTCAAAAAGTCTTAATACACATATGCCCTAAAGTCGCTTGTTTCGAAGTTGAAAAAATGCAAAAGTAGTTATTTCTCACACTAATGCGAGAAAAGCACCTTTATGACTTACCTTATTGCACTAGTAGTGCGGAAATAGCAGGCATTACAAAAAATATTGTATGTATGGCATGCGCGGAAGACAACGAACTACGTCGCGCATGAATATTAAATAAAATAACAGACGCTTGTAATAATATATCATACGTAATGATACGGAACTTCTTTTGCGTTCTACAACATCAATAATTCAAAGAGCAGAAGTGTGTGTAGACCAAAATGGTGGTCACTTTGAACAATTTATAAAGTAGTTTATAAAGTAAATTATTGTTTAATTATCGTTTAATTATTGTTTAATTATCAATAAATAATATTACCTTTAATAAATAATATTGTTCTTATTTTATGCAATTTTGTTTTTTTGCTATAACTTTGAAACAATCGACTTTAGGGCATATGTGTATTAAGATTTTTTGACTTAGAATGACAAAAAGAATACACAGTTTCAGTATGGACATCACGTTGCGGGACACCCTGTAGATATAGATAAAAATTTTGAGTCATCTTATGTCAACGACACACGCCATCAATTCGTCTATTATTTATATGAAAGATGAAGTGGTTCCAGGCAAAATCTCTTGAAACTAATATCAATGCGGATATCAATGCAACTCACGCATTATCACGATGCTCGATTTCATCGTTCCGTGTATTCCACTAGTGACAAAATGCAGGTAGAAGATCTTCGTTATCGCGGAGATATTGTCGACGTTTTCCTTCTTACGTTAGATTTGTAACGGTATATCGACAAGGAGAGGGAGAGGTGGACACTGATATCGGGGATCCTTTAGAGAATCGTGTTATTGTCGGCGAAAGAAGATATACGAGGGTTGCTGTGCCAGGTAATATTCCACCATCAACCCTCAGCACTAAATAACATCTGTAGGTGGACAGGAATGTGCGTGGGACAGGAATAAATTTGATATTACGCACTGGTACCCAGATACTTCGCCAGGTCAGCGGGTTAGCATGTGGGTCACATCTGAAATTGCCGCTTTATACACCGGAGATCGTTATTCTTCAGAATATCATTATGTACGAAAAGGGAGATTAGCGTGTTTGTTTTCCGAGTATTGTATATTTACAGGGTGAAGTTTATTATTATTGCTAAATACTGTATTGTATTTATACTTGTGTTACAATAATTAATAGAAACATATAATTTATTATGATGAAACAAATACTGCAGCTAATATATTTCTAGGAATAATAAATCGATATATATTAATAAATCATACATTATATCATACATTAATTAACAAACAATTTTGTTACGCGCGAGAGATTTCGATTTCTTTTTTCAAAAATGATTTAATATTGAGTTTGCAGATTTATTGCAATATTAATAAGATTTTGGTTTCTTCTAATATTACATAAATTTAAAAAAAGTTTACAT